AAAACATTTATTGGATCTACGTGTACTTTGTTCAGTTTGTCAGTTTGTTCAGTTTAAAATTTAGAGGCATCAACACATTTTATTGATGGATACTACAAACTGTTAGCAAATGTTACTATCCATGCCAATTACCATGTCTTGACTGACTTTTGAATGAATTTGTTGTATCTCTAACTTTCTTTAAAAAATTGGTAGAATACAATTAGGCTCTGGGGTTTTGCTTATTTTAAGTGCATCTTGTACTTGTAGCATTGAACCTTTTAAGTCTTGAACAGAAAAGACTAGGTGGAAGACCTGGTATAAGTATTCAAAATCCTCAAAGCCACTGGCAAAGTCAATTCAGTGAACTTCAGATTAACTGTGAAATGCAAACCAGAGAACACAAGTGGAAACTTTGTGGAAGTGTATTAAAACTGAGACCTGTAGGTACTTCTTTATACGAAAGTTTGAGGACATATGGAACAAGATGTTAAACATCTTAGAAGGCTTGAATGGCATGCTCTCATTTGTATCCTTTCTTACGGACATACTGTATATTCACTTCTGCTTTCCTCACACCCAAAGAAGGCTCCACACCCGAAAAGTTGTATTTCCTTTCTTCTCTTTTCAACATAGAATAAACCTTTTACTTGTTCCTTTGAATAAATACTGTACACGTGCTTTTAAAATATTTTTGTATATATTTTATTTTGGAAGACTTTCTTTTAGTGTCAAGAAACCACCGCTGCCATGTCTGAAGGGTGAGTTTTTTGTTATTTGTTATACTTTCTATTATTTATTTCAAAACAATGACATGCATATTAATTCATTCTTTCTTGTCCTTTTTATCTTTCAATTGTGGAACAGAGGACAGGTGGGTCATTATGGTTTCTTCATGAGATCTTTATAAGATGACATATTCAAAGGAAAATCATGACTAGTATTGCATGTCTTTGGTTTGTGTCTGTACTTACTATGTCTTAAAAAGCTTGCAAGGAAGACATTTAACATACAAAAGACTGAATGGAATATTGGAAAAACCAGTTTACCCTTTCCTGTGTTTAAATTTAGAGGCATCAACACTGTGAGAGAAAGTTTTCTGAAGGATTGCTTGGTTCTCATCAATGTCTCAGATTATAACCCTATAGAAAATTGCAAAAACGCTGAGTATTTCATTTAGAATTTAGTTGCAAAAAGGTGACTGGAAAGAGAACCAAAAATTGACTAAAGACATACAAATATATATTTCCTCTTGCATTAAAATCTTTTCAAGTACAGAAATGAATAGCAATTCATGTATATAAAACTGAAAGTCAAAATGGTTAGATATGAAAAATTAAAGAGCATCTTACACAAAGGGAGCAATAATTGTAGAATTAGAGCGATGTACGGTTTTTACTTCTAAAGAAGTGGTTTGTCTTTGATCTCCTGCGTACTAATATTTCCAAGGTTATTACAATAGCTCATATTAGAATGGAAATTATTAGATCTACAAAAAGTTAAATTACATTTAAAATAATAAATACAAACAAATGAATATGAATAAAGTCAATAACGACATCTATTGTTACGTTTTGCTCTTGATGCCCCTTGCTCCAGGCTTTGTATATTCTGCATTTTTGTATTCTCCTCCCTAACCAGAAACTCAATCCAAATATAACAAAGGGAAAGCATGCAAGAGTGCCCCCTCCTTCTTATTACATTGATATACAGTATCCATACATTTTATTTCCCTGCATGACTTGACATTGTTATTAAAAGCCTCAAAAAAGTTCAACAAATAATTTGTCAGTAGCCAGATCCATTAATGAGGGGTTGTTAAATTTGATTTAACAATGAGCCCCAAAGGTATCTTCTCTTCTTTCTCCCACATGTCAGAAAAAAGCTAAAATCCCTGCATCTCGGAGGCTGTTCTTAAAGGTAGGTTAATCACTGAATTATGTTCAAGTAGACATGAAGCTGAAAAGGAGAAGCGCATGAAAACCAATTTATAGTCTCATATATTGAAATTTTATTTCTGTAATAACAGCACGTGTGCAACTTTTTAAATTAAATTGTATACATAATGAACAGTATACGTAAATTATGTTTCCCTACATAACTTTTAGTTCTTATGCAGTATACTGTATGAGTGATATACTGTAGAAAGTGTACTGTAAATTCTTTGTAAAGAATAGTCTGTTTTTAGACGTTTGTACGGTTTTGTACAGATATTCTTATTCTTTTCCACAGACAAAAATGCTTGAGAAAGCCATAACAATGATAGATAAAGAAAAAAAAGACAGGGAAACAGAACGGGAAAGGATTCTTGCTGAACGTGTTCCTCCTCTTACGTTGTCGGGGTTGTCTGTTCAGGAACTACAGGTATTAAAGCAATTAAAAACTGTGCTACCATATCTTTATACTTTTATATTGATTTAAATATATAAATCGAAATTTGTGGTGTCATATGTCAAATGCTGGCTATATTGGTACAAATATAAAGTAAAGTACTGTATAGGCGGTCTTAAATATAATCTTTCTTGCAAGTGTAAATTACTGTACAACTAAACTATAAGTAAATTTAGAAAGGAAGAAATAACTGTGATCAAAACCAAAGACCAACAATAATGTTATTTATTTACCATTCCTCTCATCTTAACCTTACAGCTGTGTTGTATAGGTGTTTCTTATAGTATATTCCTTTTCACAGGACCTGTGTAAACAGCTGCACCAGAAGATTGATGGTATAGATGAAGAGCGTTATGATATTGAAGTTAAAGTGGCCAAAAATGACAAGGAGGTATTTTAATTTTAATTTGTAAAAACTGAAAAGTAGAATGTGACTATTTCCCTTAATCATTAGAATACATTTATAAGCAGAAAATATCCCAAGCGTTCACTGATCTTTGTAAGTCAGTGTGACTAAATATACAGTATAACCAGATGTTTCAGATTTAACTGTGAATTTCTCTGGGCTCTTTTCAGAATCTACTGTCTGGTCATTTTTAATTCAGAAAAGTATTGAATATTTCAGGGTGCTACTCAGAAGTAAAAGAGATGTTTTACTTCTTAATTGGCAGTACAGCCTAAAATGTTAAAAATACCACTGTGTGGATTGTAGAGGTTTAAGGATCTGATATATACTGATGGAAAAAAGAAACGCAACACCTCCTCCTCCACACTCTGGCCCTCCCGTCTGCCTGGAACAGGCTAAAGAGTGACTCATTCATGAAGAGGACCTGATGACAATGCTGATGAGTCCATCGCAGCCTCTGTCTGGCCCAAGCCAATCAGGTGTGACGTCTAGGAGGTGTCAGCAGAGGGCCACTGACAGGTTGCCTTGCTCTAAGACCAGCAGCATGGAGCCTCACTGTCCTGTCACTGATGCAGGCGTTGTGTCTGCTGGCAGTTTCAGCAGATCTGAAATGATCTCTCAGATGGACCAGTCTGATGTGTCAGTCCTGCTCTGGTGTGGTCACTCGAGGGCGACCGGATCTTGGACTGTCATCTGTCCTGAAACCTTCTCTGCAGTCGGGACACAGTGGAGCGGTTTACTCCATAGTGTCTGGCAACGTTGGCACATGACATGCCTGCCTGCAGCATGCCAATGGCCCTCTCCGTTGCCCTCTCCCTTGCTTCTGGTGACATTCGAGGCTTTATGGAATGCACAGAAAACTGTGTGGCCTTTTTCTTGAAGTGACCTAAGCTTTGAATTAAGGCCTTTAAAAAGGTGATCTGATCAGGCATTGCTCCACCTGGACCTCGTTGGGTAAAAGTGCACCTTATGAGCTTTTGTTTGATTGGCAAGTTGCATTGCCTCCTTGAACAATCTGTATTACTAGTCAGAGGGCTTAAAACAAATTGACAAGTTTTTTGTGAAAGTACATAAGCTATAACTATAGTATTATAGTATTAAAACAAATTGACAAGTTTTTGTGAAAGTACATAAGCTATAACTATAGTATTCTCATTTCAAAGAATGTTGCTTTTCTTTTTTCCATCAGTACATAAATATAAATATAAACAATCCAATATTTAGGATCCTTCATTCTTTAACATACAAACCATATGAGTTACTTGATCTGTATTTTTACTTGTTTCTCTGGCTAGATTGAAGGCCTCTCTCAGAAAATACTAGACCTGAAGGGTAAATTCAAACGCCCCAACCTGCGCAGAGTGCGGATATCAGCTGATGCTATGCTAGGGGCTCTCCTTGGGTCCAAACACAAGGGTTCAATGGATCTCAGAGCCAACCTAAAATCAGTGAAAAAGGAAGAAGAAACTAAGGTAAAGTTAATCTGAGAACTGACAGATGGATTTGTAAAATGTGCTAAATTATTGTGTTTTTTAAATACATTATCTGTCAGAATTAGACAGAAAGAAAACATACCAGAATTACAGGAACACCTGTAAATCTTAATAAAATCTTTCTAATAATGTATAATCCTACAAGAACAATTGTGTATTCAGTAGACTGTCCATTTTTTTAATTAAATCATATCAGGAATATATAGAAATGCCTTTCCAGAATGTTATCTCATCTTAACCTGATGAAACTTCTTCTAATTATTAGTGCAGTTGGAGTGTAATGTGGGCATCCACTATCGCATCTTTGTCTCACAGATCCACAGATCACCTAACCCTTGTGAATACTGTGGTTTTTCTGTACTTCCAGTATTTTAACTGCAGACAGATTTCTGAATGGAGAGAAAGGATTACAAAAGTCTGTAATTAAATAGCTGACCTAACAGCTTCTCTTGAATTAGAGGACTAAAAGGTATGGTATTATAGGAATGGTACTGTATAAAAAAGGTTTCCTTTGCTACTTGGTTTTTCAGCCCATCCTCATGGGTTGCCGTCATCATGTGATGTGTATGATGTGAGCAAACGTGGATAAAATGCCTAGAAGGACCACTATACTATAAACATTGAGAGCAATGCAGACACATGTACAGTATGTGTAATTAAGGCAATGTCTATGAACTGATGAATCCTATTATTTAACCTTCTTCAGTCTATTAGAAAATAGTATATGAAAAAAACAGGTGGTCTATTGTCACATTGTTGTGTAACGCAACGGGGGCTC